GGTCCCTGGTCTCTGTCCCTGGTCCTGATCCTGGTTCCCATCCCCGGTTCTCGGTTCCTGATCTCAGTCCCAGTCCCCAATTCCTAATCCTGGTCCCTGGGTCCAGTGTCTGTCCCTGATCCCAGTACCGGTCCCTGATCCCTAATCCGGGCCCTGTCCCTGATACCGGTCCCTGTCCGTGGTGCTGATCCCGGTCCCCGGTCCTGGTCCCTGTCAACGCTGCTGATCCCTGATTCCTGGTTCGGGTCCTTGCCCCTGATCCCAGTCCCGATCCCCGATCTCGGATCCCTATTCCTGGTCCCTGATTCCAATCCCTGCCCCTGATACCGGTCCCGGGTTCCGCTCCCTGATCCCTAATCCTGGTCCTGGTCCCTGATCCCGCTCCCCGTCCACGGTGCTGATCCCGGTCCCTGCTCCCTGTCCATGGAACTGATCCCACTTCCCCCATGCTGCTGATCCCGGTCCCCGGGCCCTGTCCATGGTGCTGATCCCGATCCCCGCTCCCTGTCCATGGTGCTGATCCCGGTCCCCGCTCCCTGTCCATGGTGCTGATCCCGTCCCCCCCGTCCCTGTCCATGGTGCTGATCGCGGTCCCGTATCCCTGTCCCTGTCCATGGTGCTGATCCCGATCCCCGCTCCCTGTCCATGGTGCTGATCTCGGTCCCCGGTCCCTGTCCATGGTGCTGATCCCGCTCCCTGATCCCTCTCCCCGTCCATGATGCTGATCCCGGTCCCCGATCCCGATCCCTGTCCATGGTGCTGATCCCGGTCCCTATCCATGGTACTGATCCCGGTCCCTATCCATGGTACTGATCCCGGTCCCCGCTCCCTCTCCATGGTGCTGATCCTGGTCCCCGCTCTCCCGGCTCCAATCCCTGCAGCTCCTCCCGCTCCCGCTCCCGTCTCCAGCTCCGCTTCCCAGTCGCTTCCCCGTCCTGCTGCCTCTTCCCCTGTGGCTCCTGCTCCCATCCCGGTCCCCATGCCGGGTCCCGGTCCCCACCTGCATCCCGTATCCAATCCATGCTCCCATCCCTATCCTGATCCCCATCTCCACCCCAGCACTGGTCCCGGTGCCCATCCCGGAGCCGATGCCTATCCTGGAGCCCATCCTGGAGCCGGTACCCATCCCGGTGCCCATCTCGGAGCCGGTACCCATCCCAGAGTCCATCCTGGAGCCGGTACCCTTCCCGCCCATCCCGGTGCCCATCCTGGAGCCAGTGCCCATCCCAGAGCCCGTACCCATCCCGGAGCCCATCCTGGAGCTGGTACCCATCCCAGAACCGATGCCCATCCCAGAGCCGGTACCCATCCCAGAGTCCATCCTGGAGCCGGTACCCACCCTGGTACCCATCCCAGTGCCCACCCTGGAGCCAGTGCCCATCCCAGAGCCGGTACCCATCCCGGAGCCCATCCCGGAGCTGGAGCCCATCCCGGAGCCCATCCCAGAGCCGGAGCCCTTCCCGGAGCCGGAGCCCATCCCGGAGCCCATCCCGGAGCCAGAGCCCATCCCGGAGCCGGCGCCCGAGCCGCAGCACAGCCCCGT